TTTACCTATTGAGCACCTATACATATTTTTTATTACTCTATTTAGGTTTCCGCAAGATCCTGAGAAAAGAAAACTTTGGTTTTCTCTAATAGGAATCCTTGAAAATCAGCCCCTTCGTAAAAACCCAGAGTTGTGTTTAAAACACTGTTTTCCTGAAAATGTTTTGGTACGTGCAAATGATACTAGATATATTAGAAAAGATGCAAACTCCAGACGGTGTGAGGGCTTTCTATTTTTGGATGACTTAACCAACAGGTAAAAATACAAAATATTAATTTTTTGTTTACCTCTAAACATTATTTATTACCTATATGTATGTATATCTAATGTATGGGTTTTTAGTTCTGATTCAACTGTTTTTGGAACACCACCTGCTGCAAAAAGAAACGTTGCAGTAAGTTATAACTAAGCATAAAAAATTAAATGAAATTTTAGTTAATAAAATTAAAGTATTTTATATATTTAAAACATTATTTTAAAAATTTTTACAGTTTTTTTACGATATTTTTTGCCATACCATGTTTTATTGTAATTATTAATTAAAAAATTATATATTTTTAGGACAGTGTTTTATTTAGATACCCCTACCTACTTAATGTTAATTTAAAATTTTAAATAATTTTGGTTAACATCGTACCAGGCAAATATATAGTAAATGCCAATAAACTATAAACCAATAAATATTAAAAATCAAAAGGTAACTTGAATTCGCTTGTATTTGATTTACTTGTACTTGTATTTACCTACATGAAAAATCAGCAAATATCATGCAAAACTATTGTCATATACTCTGAAGGCAATTCTCTCACCAGAAATCAAATCACGACTGGTGAAGGACTGTCTAGAAGACCTGACAGAGCTAAGTAGTTAAAATAAGGTGACCTTAGCCTGGGTTCCAGGCCATAAGGGATATCAGGGCAACGAAAAGGCCGACGAATTAGGCCGAGGAGGCTCAGATAAGGCCATGACAGGCCCTGGACCCTTCTGTGGAGTTGCTAAGGCATTGTGCAAGGCATCCATTAAATAATGGATGCAAACAGAGTCTCAGGAATGGTGGAACAACTATCCAAGACTGAGACAGGCCAAACAGTTTATCAAGGAACCATCGGCCAAGTTCACGAAAGACCTACTGGATCAAAAGCATCAAATCGTTAGGATAACAGTAGGCCTTCTTACTGGACACTGTCGACTAGTCATAAATCTAGCAAAAGAAGCAACTTTGTGCAGGTTCTGTGAAGAAGAAGAGGAAACAATATTCCACGTCATGTGCCAATGTGAATGCCTGGCTGGAACGAGGCAAAAGTTACTGGAGTGGGAAGTGCGGAATTTGCGACGTTGACAGTATTGTAGCAAGATTGGAAGTGATGTGCAAAATAATTGGCTATTTCGTTAGGATTAGTAAATTCAATATTGTTGTATAACATTAGATTTGGGAGCCCGTTATCACGTTTTAGATTCCTTATGAATGTCCAGAAATGCTTAATATTATGAGGAAAAAGATGTTCTGTATCGGCAATGAATGTCAAGTAATTCCATTCAGTGTGGTATTTAACTTCGCGTCGCTTATTGGAATACAAAATGTTATCAGAATCCCGACGAGTTCTCTTTTCGGTCATAAGTTTGCGAAGCGTAAAGTCGAACCAGATGGGATACTGATTACCACGAATTTTTCTTTTAGGCACGTAAAGATTAATACTTTCACATATGATACGATTGAATCATTCAATATAAATAATAAATATACAATAATAATTATGGTATAAAGGGTGGGTAATTTATAATGAATAACCCTGTACCTAATAGTTTTCAGTTAAAATTATTACCTAATTGTAATTTGCAATTTTTTAGGTAGATTGCAGAAAAATTTAATTTCGTGTTTTCCTGGTGTAGCATTTTGCGACATAATTACTGGACCTTATATAATACCAAATTTGAGCACGACGATTTAGAGGTCATTAACATAAAATTAATTTTTTTAAATAATTTATGAGGTTTACTAGTTCATAAAATAAAGTAAATAATAATAAAAAAAAGTTTGAACTCCGGACCGCTCGCATCACAGGCGAGGACTGTAACAGTTCGTCATTGATATATACATTTTAAAGTTACTTTTTAATGCTGATAATCAGATTGGTTTTAGTTTCATTAAAATCTCAATTTATTTCTAAATATCTTTTGGAATGCTATTATTTATCGATTCTTTACAAGAATAGCTAAGTTTTAATTATATTTAATCTCAATAAAAATATATATTGACAATTAATATGACCGAATTGTCGCTTATGAAGTTCTAACATCTGACCATTATATAAAATCGTTAGTTGAATTATTGTACCAATAGGTGCCAGGCGCGATTGCCAATAACTTTTACATTATCCTACTATAGTTCTTTATGCAATGATATTATCCGAGAATACCGATCAAGGAGAAGCGACAGCTTGGTGTTTTCAGTGTACCGTTTTGTAACGCGCATGTGCGAAAATAAGTTGTGTATCACTCAAAATTATGTTATCTGTCAAAGTCAGTCCAAGTTGTGTTTAGTACGTGAGCAATGTTAAGTGATATTTTTTGGTGTTTGTTTTGTGTAGTAATAAGATGAAGATTTTTACACACTTAGGTATTCTAATACAGATATAAAATGTGCCAAAAAAGTTATTAGGAAACTAAGAATTTTATCACATGCATAAATATTAAGTATAATGATTTAATCATTTTTGACATTTTTTTTTTTCATATGTAGGTATTGTATTTTGTGAAATACATGTTTTTCTTCTTTTAAATAAATTTAATAAACAATGAACTGCAAATTTTGTTTATTTTATTTTGAAATTATATTTAAAAAAATATAATAAATTCGCGTATTTCAATTAGGATTGTTCAAAGTGGGCAAAATCCCTTTATTATGGCTAAATTGTAAGTTACAATTATGTCAATATAAAGATGTTTTGCCCATTCATATTTACATTTATTGAATGAATCATACTGGAGTTAATTTTGGAAATATTGGTGCATACTTAAATAAGTACTATTTCTAAAAATTCGTCTATGCACACATAGTCCAATGGACGTCCACTTTAGATCTATTTTAGGGTCAGGACGTCCATATCCGGGCATCCAGTGTACGTCCGTTTATGCTAATTAAATTGACAGCTGAATATCGATACCCAGAGAACGTCTGTTTTTGGACTTAATTTTAAGTTCAGTAGTATTTTGACGTCCAGTGGACGTCCATCTTAGGTAATTATTTATTAAGCCTACCAGATAATACCCATCTATATATACTTCTTTTTTTTTAATATAACTGGTCATTAAAAATTGACAAATTGAATCTATTGCATTTCATTCTATCAGCGGAAGTTTGAAATCTCATTCAATTATAACTGTATCTAGTAAAAAGTGTTCAAGTGGTTCCTTTGTAGAGCTCGTCTAGCGATTGAAAGCGTAAAACGATAATGGATGTGTCGTGAGTTTGATGCCTGCTCAGGTCAAACGATTTTTAATAAAAAATAAATAAATAAATAAATGGTGTATAGCGATTTGCGAAAGAAATAAACAAATTATTAATAATATAAAATAGTGTGTGGTGAGTTGCGGTTCTGTAAAAAAGTGGGGATGTGGTCTCAATGGAAATATAATCCTGGACGTTTTTTGAATGTCCAGTATTCGACGTCCAAATATATTCCAGAATTGGACGTCCTCTGAATGGTCAAAAGTGTGCCATTTGTATACTTCACTGGACGTCCATTGGATGTCAGAAGTCCAGAAAACTCATTTTTGGACGTCTAGACATCGAAAATTGTATATCGAATGGACGTCCAATGGACATATTTGTATTGTCTGGGTAATAGCCAGGCCAGGTATTTAACTCTAAATACATAAACCTTAAATGACATCTGGTTTAACTTGGCGAGAAAACACTTGTTTCTACAGAAATGAGTGATAAACTTAAAAGTCCTTTTAATATCATATAAATCTAGAAATTCTAAAAATATGTAAGTACTTTTTAAACCTAAAAGCTTTGAAAATATATGCACATTGCAAATATTTAGTTAAACCTCTCAAACTTAATGTCTTTTTAATTGTTACCAAAATTTTTTTTGACACCCTTAATTTTATTTACCTTATTTTTAGTTAAGGAAAAGGTAATTTAATTTAAATATAGGGCTTTTTTTTACATTTTTAACAATAAATAAACCACATATTGAACAAATTTTATAGATAAATTATAAAATAATAAACGTCTTTTACTTTTATAATAAATAATTAATTATTACATAATGAATTATATTTTGGTGCCGAAATTTCAGAATTGCTATTAACCCTAACTACTTCAATGTAATTAAATCACATTGCAACATTTGCGCATGGACTATAACAATAATTTCAGATAATTTGCCAAACTATTTCGCTCAGTGTAGAAAATAAGCATGTTTTCTCAGCGTGCTAAGTTGTGTATCAGTCAAAGTCATACTGTGAAAAAGGTACATCCGATATAAAAGGCACCGACAGCTACTGTCGCTTCTCCTTGATCGGTATTCTCGGATATTATGATCGGTAAATCAGTGATTATATCTGTATAATGTATTAAAGTTTATGGATTTATTTAAACAAAGTTTTAGTCTGAAATTGCTTAATAGATTTTGACAATAAAATTTCATGAATTTAAACTTCAGTAACAATACAAATTCATTTTACCCGTGTTTCTCACAAATTAGTAAACAAAAATCTTTAATATTTATAAAATATTAGAAATGTGTTATCTTTCGTTCATTAATATATTTTTATATTAAGTGTATTTTGCTGTCACGAAAAGATTATGGATAAATATTCTAAAATTTATAGAAACCATACTTTTTGTTATACATTTATCTATAAGAATAAATATATCAGCAGAAAAATTAACTATTTCTAAGAAGTAACCCAAAAACTGTTGTCATAAAACACTTTATGCTGGTTTATAAATAAACAAATTCTTTGTAATAAATATATTGATTACTTACCAAGATTAACGAGAGAATCAGATGGCATTGTATCTCCAGAATAAGTTAATTTGTATCCATTTCTACAAATGATTGAGACACCAAATGCATTTGGACAATGCCTAACAGCACATGTATTTATGTCCGTAATGTAAAGATTGTCACAGATTGTGTTTTTAGCTACTTTAGTTAACAAGTTACCTCCTTGCATCTGAAAAATAATTGTATTTTTCTATTTTTGACACATACAGTGACATTTTTTATTATCACAGCAAGTATCAAAATGATCTACTTTATGCAACTAGTTGTTACCAGTTGCGAAAATAAAATAACAAATAAAAATAAACCTTTTTCGGTTTTAAAATAAAAATAGTGTTGGCCACTAAACGTTTTCCAATACGTTTTTGCACAAACGCAGATGAAAACTACAAAGAGTTAACATTAGAGAGAACAGGAAACGAATAATCAGCGTTGCCAGTGTTTTGGTTTTGCCAGTGTTGTAACGTTGACCGGGCCGTATAAACTGCCATCGCTAATATTATTCTTTTCAATATAAAGACGCTACAATAAGTCATTGAGAGTAAATTCATATGATTTTATTATTATTATTTAATATTGTTGTTAAGAACAGGCAAGCGACATAGTCGATGAAGCTGCTCTTTTAGTTAGAGACAAAAATTATTCTATAAACTATAATGAATAATATTTCTTCCTTCTTCGAGTTCTTTATCCACTCCCGCCTTGAACTGGTTTATGTTCTGGGCTAAGACCGTATGTTCCTGGAGACCATTCCACAGATATACAGTTCTGTTTGCAATGAAATTTTTTCTTTGCAGTTTATTACACGTTTCTTTTTCTAATTTCTTTGAGTGACCTCTCAAGGTTCTTAATGTGCTGGCTTGGAAGATGTCATCACAGGTGTAATATCCGCTAGTCCACTTGTAAGTTTCTATCAAGTCTCCTCTAGTTCTTCTATCCTTTAAACTTGAAAGTTGTAGTTTGGTTAGCCGATCACAATACTCATCGTTTTGTAGTGTTGGTGGTATTTTGGTGACTCTCTTTTGTACTCTTTCCAGCAGTTCAATGTCTTTATGGATCCCAAGCAGTCTGCGCAAATTCTATCTTTGGTTTTATGTAAGTTGTGTACAGTTTGAGGATCATATCTTCGGAATGGTCTTTAAAAGCTTTTTTGATAAGGCAAATGAGATTATTAACTTTCTTCACCACATTAGAAAAATGGGTTTCCCATTTTAAGTCTTTAGATACGATTACACCAAGATCCTTTTGTGTTTCCACTGGAGTTATTGCGGTTGTATCTATGGTGTACTGTGTGTGGGGATTATTTGGGCCAATGTGCAATAATGTACACTTATTTACGTTGAGGGGTAGTAGCCATTGCTGGTTTCAGATTCCTATTTTATTCAAGTCTTATTTCATTTTGTGAGAGTTTCAGTTCTTGTTTTTGCATAGAATCGTTCATAACTGTCGCGAGGAAATTAAGAAGGCTATTAGAACATTTTTTTAAGAAAAATTGGTGAGATTTCATCTATTCCAAGACTTAAGTTTGTTTAAGACTATTTATTGCAAATTTTACTTTTTCTGCGGTAAATTTTACTATGCTATTCTCAACTCTTTTTGTTGCAGTTATTTGTGGTGATTCTATATCAGGGTCTGTTGTATAAGCTGCGCTGAACTGTTCTGCAAATCTTTCTGCTATCTCGGCTGGTTCTGTGATTGTTGAATTTGTTGTCGGGTTTCTTAAGGTCATCTGATTTTCTATTTGACAATAAAATGAATGAAGTTATGCATATGCAACTAACAATACAAGTAATATTTTGTTTTCCTACGACCACTTAGGAAAGTGACACATATCACACTATATAGTCCTATGGAAAGTGCCCTATATCACACGCGTATGAATAAGAATTTACTTTCCACCCGTGTACGAATATGCTACTTTCCGCAGTAGCTGTCACAAAATGTCAAACAAATAATTTCTATTTTGATCTATGTAATGTCCATATTAATACTAAAATCGATATGATTGTTAAATTATTGAAAATGTTGTAAATTATATCCTAGATATTTATCTTTAACAATTATTATTAAAATAATTTTAAAATAACTAAGATATGTTTGCTCTTTATTCTGGTTAAATACATAACTGATTAGATCATTCAATTGACGTAAGGGCTATTAGCTCAGATGGTTAGAACGTCGAACTTATCAACTTTGCCATTTGAGACCTGGCGAGCGACCACGTTCAAATCCTGGCGGGGCCAGAATTTTTTTTTGTTTTTTTTTTTTTTGTTTAGAAAATATGAAAATTGAATAAATACGATTATTGTTGATTATTTTTTTAAATACATTTTAATTATTATAGTAATAATAACCTGGTTATACATTTTTTGATGACATTATTTTGTGGTCGTAGGAAAAATATTGTACATCACTTGTGTGAAAAGTGATTTTCCACACTCGTGTGATAGTCGCACTCGGCTTGTGCCTCGTGCGACAATATTTCCCACTCGTGTGAAAAATGTCACTTTCCACACTCGTAATGTAATATACTATCGCATAGATGTTAGTAATTTTTTACTAAAATACAATTTTATAATCTAGTCAAAATTAGAAAAAATATTGTATACAAGTAACAAAATGCCATGTTGTCCAACTCGTTCATGTTAAGGGACCTCGCTCTACTCGTCTTGCAAATATTCACTCATTACATAAAATAAGGAATTTCGTAACTGGTTGCATAAATATCTATTAAACATGTGAGATGATAATAATTGATGCTCACTTTATTGTATCAATAAAATAAATATTTTATACTTAGTTCAGTTTTTATACTACAATGAATGACATAATATTTGATGAATTAGAACTTATTATACTTTAAACAATTCTTGCAATATAATTAGCTTTAAAATATTAGATTTAAGCTAATCGTTGAAAAAATTCATGATTTGCAAACATCACATTGTAACGTTGGCCGTTAAACTAGCAATGCTGATATTATTCGTTTCCTATTCGCAATAATGCTAACTCTTTGTAGTTTTCACATACATTCGTGCAAGTTTATTGGAAAACGTTCGATAGCCGATACTGTATATTCTCATTACTTACAGAAAACACTATAGATTTACGTTAAAATTTAATTATTATTAAATATACTTACCAAAGAATCATTTGGTACTAATTCAAATTCCGACATTATACTCTCAAAACATCTATCATAAAAGGAGAGCCAAGTCATAATTTGTTTAGGTGCGAATAAGTACAAAGGTCTCTTCTCAATATTGAGTTTACTAAGTGCTTGTTTGCGTCCTTGTAATATTCCTAGGAGTCCTATATGGTGATCAGCATGTAAATGTGAAATATATACGGAATCAAGGTTGGCCAGAATATTGTGAGCATCATTTTGACCAAAGAATCTGATTATTTGCCCATAGGTCCCTTCGCCGCAGTCAAGTAAAATGTGCTGTTTTCTAGTAATATAACTAAATTATTAAAATATATTAATATTATATTGTAGTATTGTTAATAATAATTCCTTGGATACTAAATTTATTTTCATTAAATTAGCATTATTATTTGTTAATATTTAATATAATGCTAGAGGTGAAATACATAATATATTTGTGAAATTCAATTTACATATTTTCAAATAAATTGAAATAAAAAATTCATCATTCTTGAATAATGTCATCTTTTCTAAACAGATCTTAACTCTCTTTTCTTAATTGCTTAAGAAAGTTGTGATATATGTTATTTCTCTCAATCACAGATCTGATCCAGTTTTTGAATAGTGCCCGTAAACGATATAAGGCAGATACACTAGGCTAAAGAAATTAGTCCGGACTATAAGAGTAAAATTTTTTATTACTCCATTTTAAACTTTACCATTTATAAAGTACCGTTCAAATATCACTATAGGCCGAAGAAATAATTGTTAAAGTTGGAAATTTTATGTCCCCTATGTCCCTTGACGTGTACCAATAAATTCAGAAAATTTAAATTTTGTTGCTAAATGTCTACTTTTATTTTCCTACTAGCTATCGCGATCCCGCTTCGCTGGAATTTCTCAAATCTCAATTATTAAAAGTGAATAACAGTTTTCGTAACTCCATAGAAATTTTTTCATGCGATACCTGGAATTTTTTTTATTAATTTTTTTATAAAAATAATAAATAATATAATAATAAATATTTTTATTAATATTTATTAATTTTTTTATTAATTTGTATTAATTTGTATTAATTTTTATTAATTTTCATTAATTTTTATTAATTTTTATTAATTTTTATTAATTTTTATTAATTTCTATTAATTTTTATTAATTTTTATTAATTTTTATTAATTTTTATTAATTTTTATTAATTTTTATTAATTTTTATTAATTTTTATTAATTTTTATTAATTTTTATTAATTTTTATTAATTTTTATTAATTTTTATTAATTTTTATTAATTTTTATTAATTTTTATTAATTTTTATTAATTTTTATTAATTTTTATTAATTTTTATTAATTTTTATTAATTTTTATTAATTTTTATTAATTTTTATTAATTTTTATTAATTTTTATTAATTTTTATTAATTTTTATTAATTTTTATTAATTTTTATTAATTTTTATTAATTTTTATTAATTTTTATTAATTTTTATTAATTTTTATTAATTTTTATTAATTTTTATTAATTTTTATTAATTTTTATTAATTTCTATTAATTTTTATTAATTTATATTAATTTTTATTAATTTTTATTAATTTTACCCGGTATCCCTCCACCTATCTATGCCACTACTTTTGACGTCTTTCCCAGAACCAATTTCTTTATATCCCCTGGAATTTTGTGGTAGAGGGACACTGGGCTTCGAAACCTACAAAAGACCATGTGAATTTATTTGTATGGTTCTCTATAGGATTTGATGGATGCCGTATTAGTAGAAATGTAATTTCTGTTGATATATAATTCATATTATAAAAATCGCCATGCGTTAACGTTTCGATGATGGTGGGTGGGGTTTTCCTCACCGGTAAGTCAAATGGCGCCATCAATCATCTTTAAGTCGCCTGGAGCGCAACGGCAAATAATAAAATTTCCGCCCCTTCCCCTATACAAGTCGCTCAGTCGGCTTCAGGTATCGAAATTCGCTCATGAGGGGGTGAATTAGAGAGAGTATTATTATTATTATTATTATTATTATTATTATTATTGTCCTTGTTGCATTTTCAAAATAACTTTGGGAACAATAGTTGTGTTTGTTTTTGGCAACTTATTCACGTTTTTCTTATAAGATATGAAAAGAATAAAATTTCAAATATGAAGCCTATATCTCAAAAACTAATAAGAAAACCTGTTAAAACTAAAAGTCAGTTGTCATTTGTTGTTTTTTTTTTTAACTATATTTTGCCTTTCTTTGTAAAACATTTCGCCAAATTATTTAATTTATTATCCACTTTTGAAACATGTCTGAGGACATTTCCAAGCAACCCATCACTAGTGCCTAGTGTATTTGTTATCTTTGTTATTATTATATATATTTGCGACAGTATTTTTTAATAAAATTTAATGAATCTCATTATTTTGTTCAACAATTTCCATTAATAAAAATGTTTAATGATTTTTTTTTATTTTACTAACCTATGCTGGGAAAAACGGTAACAATAGGCGAAATACCCTCGAAGTGAGAAAACAAAACATTTGCTGTAGTGGGGTATGCGTATCTAGTGTTTATATGATTAAAGATTAAAAAAAAAAAGATTTTACGTACCCCAGTGATACCAATATCCCACTAGTGTTTCTAGTTTTATTGGGTATACAGGATCCAGTTCCTAAAAATAAAAGTTTTGGATAATCGTCGCCGACCTCATTTGTCTTCTTTAACATTTTTATTTTTAGTTTTCTTAATTCTCCCATAAGTTCTTGTACATTAAGGCTTTCATTAATATACTCATGAGGATTTAAAGTCAATTCCATACTCCTAAAAATTCCAAATAATCTCTTAAATCTCTACTCCAAATAACTTTCAATAATTTGTGTAATATTTTGAATTTATACCATCTACAAGTATTTTACCTGTCAAGGCCCCGTTTTGGTCTTAAATGATAAGTACAAAAAGTACGTGGGCATATCATCATTTCTTTCGCTGTGGACGGTTTAGGAGCTGCAGTCTCCATTAAATTTTTTATACTATGTGTCGGTGATGTTGGAGTCCTCTGAAGATGTTTAAGTTTAGTTACTATTTCGTCATCGATAAAAGTAGTACAAGAATCTGCTAATTTTGGTTTTTTATGAAGTAACTGATTTGGAGGAGGCTAAAGAAAGAAATGTATTTTATAAAAAAATACTAAAATAAATTAAATTAAGTGGTTTCTCAAACACTAAAATTCAAACTAGGGTACAGCTAATTTTAGCTAATGTGTGTACAATTATTATTCTTATCCCATTAAATATTTTCTTTCTTACTGAATTCTATTAAAACAAATATTAACAAAAACATTGGCAGACATTTTTCTTCTTATATTATAATTTATCAAACTCATTTGCAGCTTAAAAACTTTTGAGGTAATAAAGTTTAGAATAAAGTAAAACAATCTATTTTTGACAAAAGCTTTTTACTAAAATATTAACAAAAATGGAAAATAGAGAAAAACAAGAAAACCTCAATATAATACAAGCTACCATTTCCCTTCATAAAACATCTATTCCTTTTGCTAATACCACAATAGGCATTGAATTATATTCTCAGAAAAACAGAAAAATAGAAAATTATTTTTAACCCTCTTTATTTTGCTTACTAGGGAGAATGTCATTCTTAGATCGGTTGCGTCCAATTAGGACTCATTAGCAAGAAATAGACATTCTCGATTCCAATTTCAAATGGAACAAGTGCAAGTGCAATAACATTCCTAAAAGTGTGTTTATTTATTATTTATTATTATTAGTCCGAATCCTTATAGACATAATAAATAATGAAAAAACATGCGCAGTAATATTGCAAAAAGGACATAAACGAGGAGAACCACCAAAAATTTATAAACTTGCAGAACAATATGGCCACACAGTTATTCCTTATCACTGTACATTTAACCCAATTAAAATTATATGGGGTATTGCCATGAATTATTATAACCGGCATATTAGTAGGGATGGCAACTCAATTCCAAATTGTTTAAGTATGTGGAGGGAAGCACTGCAGACTACAATATAGCAATATTAATAAATAAAAATGTTTTGTGATACATATTTATGGGCACGTCCATCTTCTCCCATGTCACCTAAATTATTTTTACAATTTTACTTTACTTTGCTTAATGCACCCTTAATTTCGACCACTGGCTTTCATAGATAACTGTTTTTAAGATTGCCATTCAATGTCTTTGTGTAGAAAGATTGATAGCAATTTGTTTATTGAAGAAATGAAACGAAATAAGGTATTTTTAAGTGTGTAAAGAATTCATTAATTCGTCAAGCGCTTTCGGTTATTGGGCCATCTTCGTCGTCAAATATTTAGTAAAAAGTAGAAAACATGTAAAAAAAGTAAAAGAAAAACTATAACATCAAGGAACGAATAAAACACAGGTGGTATTACAAAACCTTATAGTCAGTGGCAGTCGTGGCACTAGGATGCTAACATTTTGCAGGTTAAGACTTGAGATCTTTTACTTTCTTTACATGTTTTCTACTTTTCACTAAAATTCTGAAGATGATGGCTCAATAACCAAAAGCTCTTGACGAATTAATAAATTCTTTATACACTTGAAAATACCTTCTTTCTTTTCACATACAACCTTTGATTAATTTGTTATTTATGTTACGGCTACGCGTCTTGCTCTTAAAATTTCTCCGAAAAATTTTTTCCGTCTTCTGGCGCAGTCAAAATTTAATAAAACATGGGGGACGATTACAAACAATTTAAAAATTTTAAAATAACAGAAACCCCATTTCAGACCTCATTTAATAAACCAAGGAAATTGATATTTATATAAAATTCAGCTACGGTCAGGAAATTATCCTCATTCAAGTAATTTTACAATTTCTTTAGGTATATTGTGCTATTGCTGTAATTTCATCATCAGATGATTCTGAAGATGAAAGCATTTCCAGAATGACTAATGATTGTCTTTTCTACGATCCATAATATATAATATACTGATGTTATGATAAAAAACAACAACAATCTTAATCCAGCCAGTAGATAGTAGATATTTTTATATTAGGTCAGGCTTTGTAAGGGGTTTTCTCGTCACTGAGAAAACGGTTCCTTACAAATAGCGCTTACTACTGCCGGCTCTCTGGCGCCAGATTATTTATTTTGGCTCACTCCACAAACTCTGGAAGCAACGTCGAAAGTACTCGAGTAGCTACAGATGGAGATGAAAAATTACAGGGGTCAAAGATCACCTAGACACAAGTAATAACAAGCCCCAAGCAACGGGCTTTAATCGAACAAGGATGTTGCTCGTGGAGTGCTCCATTAGTGATGAATCGAAAACGCTATTACTTAGCACTTATGTATAGGATATTTACGATGACATTACACTTAGTAATTAAGTGTTACCAATTGAATAAATTAAAATTCACAAGTTCTAATGGAGTTAAATATACGACAATCCAGGGAATTTAAATTTAAACTTTGGCAATTTCATTATGGTCAGATTTAGCCTTGAAATCTTAAAAAACTAATATTTATTAATTTAGTTTCCAAAGAGTGAATTTTAATTACTCAAGTAATAGCTTACAAAATAGTTATTTATGATACAAGTGTTAAAAACCCAATTTAATTTTGTAAGGGCAGATTTTGGAACGAGCAGAGCAAGTTTAGAAAACGCTTTAATTTTTATTTTACCCACCTATGTTAATGATGTGAAAAACAACAATAATAGCTGAAATATCCTCGAAATGATGAAACAAAATATTTGCTAAAGTACAGGATATGCTGCGTTACATATCTAGTGTTTTTATATAATCGAAGTGGTCTGTACTCTATTTTTGAGCTCACCAAATAAAATATTAAAAATTTTGTAAAACTTACGTCGCAACTGATGATTTGGCTTCCATTATCTCCTAATATCGGAAAAATGTCAGGCGATAACAAATTTAATTTGTATTGTATTCTGTGTACAGCTTCACTTCCCATGCAAGTGTTAAATTCGTTTAGCATTAATTGTGTAGTACAAGTTGGAAAGGCTTCCATCCATTCTTGATATCTTTAATCCGTAAAACAAAGAAACATTTATTAAAAAGAAAGACTACCCGATTTGACATTAGTTCGTTCTTATAGGTTTTTTAATGCAATTCGATAAACTTGCTAATGATTTTCATAGATGAGATCAGTGGCGTAGCCACGGGGAGGGGGTCATAACCCCCCATGGAGAACCTTCGCGTCACCGTTTCCGATCTTATTGGCTCTGGTCGCTATTAACTGTTTCTTTTTATTCACTTTTTTATCGTTTTAAAAAAAAAATATTTATTTACATTTACTTTTTTTAAAAAACAATCTTATTTGAAATATTTCACTTTGTTGATGGAACCTCCCCCCAAAAGTTCTCAGAAACTCTTCCCATGAAAAATTTCTGACTACTAGGGGCGAGTTGTTTCAAAATCACTTTACTGATTAGTGTTAGTTAGGGAAAATTTAATTGTGCATTTATAGACAATATTGTTGTACGAAAGAAATGGCTCCACTAGTTTGTTAACAAGACTATTTCAAGATTGGTAAGATAGTTATGTTAGTTTGAACTACGAGATATTTAAAATAACAATCAAAAATAAAAAGAAAGATTATTTACTTATTTTGATTCTTTCACTGGATATTGTATTAAAAATAAAACAAAAAATGTACTTATATAGCATGAAAAGAAAGTCAAAATGTATTACTAAAAAAGAGAAATTTTAATTATCTGAGTGAAAAAACCATTGACAACAAAACAACGCATGGAATTAAAGCTGAAAAAATAAAAAGTTATTAAAAGTGTGTATGTGCCCTAGGATGCACATAAAGCATTTGCAATTTCATTAAAATTCTCATTAACTGTATTCGCTCCGTGCGTGACAGCAGCACCATTCATTTATGTACTAATAGACTATTTTTGCCTCTACTCTGACAATACAATTTTTAATAGAATTCGTAATTAAAAAGCATATATGTTAGTAATAATAAAAGTATATGGATTTGTAAAACAAGTGAAACATTAATTTATTATTAATATATATTTTTATCGCTTAAACTAAAAAAAAAATAAGTATAATCAATAAAAATCAATAATAAAATATAGGCAGGCAACAGTATTTACGGGAAAATGAAGTATATACAAGAGTTCTACTTTTCGACTTTTCTGTCCGAAAAATGACGTTTTTTGACACATTCGAATAAAAATGATCTTTGATTAATACGCAGCTAAAACAAATGTTTCAATAACAATAATAATTAAAATGCCACGATATTAATATCGTAGTATGCCCGTAGAAAACGTGCTGTAGAACGCTTGAAATTGACAGTCTGGCGTCTAAATTATCATGCGCACCGAAAGTTTTTTTCACCCATATCGGCTTAGAAATTAGGAGTAGGGCTTCCCAAGTAACAATTTGATATTTTATAAAAGCTGAAAAAATGTTTACAGAACAAAATTTATAAAATAGAATATTAGCTAAGAACATTTCCGGAACATTCTTTCAACAGTAATAAACACAAAATGGGCGCAGTATTACAGAACTATTTGGTTCTTTTGTAAATTCTATAAGATTTGTTGAATGCAGTTACCGAACAGTTACTACACATTTACACAGACTTTAAACAAATGTTTTTTTAAACTTTTATAACTGTTTTATAAATTTTCAATTTTGAGGTTAGGTTTCATATCAAAATCAGTAACATTTTAGTTTTTTAAATGTATCTGGCGAAAACAAATTAATTCTATATTTGTCATAAAAGTAAATTCAAGGCGATATTAGTAAAATGGCAGTATCTACTTAAGAGATATCTATAACGCGGTTTAGACATAATGTATGACCTACAATAAAGTCGTTTTTTGATGCGCAGCAAGAATTACTGTTAATTATATAGCACATACAATACTAAATTTTTAAGCGCCTCGAGTTTGATTCATATTTCTAATACTTTTTCAGTGTGAAACAAAAATTAAATTTATGCAATTTGATTTTTTTTTAGTAATAAGATTATGCTAATATTACTAATAATTAAAATCTTTAATTAACATTGGTTTTCTCTTAAATACTAGTAAAACCGACAGTAGATTTATTATCGAAAGATAATAAAAAAACAAACATTTTTTTAAAATGTCATTTTAAATACTATATGGGTTTTAAGGGATTTAGAGATTGAAATTTCAGAGTTTTTATTGCTGAACCAAAATGTATTTTTTTCGAAAATTCATTTAGGCCATTCGAAAGATAATAAAAAAACAAACAACTTTTTTAAATACCATTTTAAATGCTATATGGGTAATAAGGGATTTAGAGAGCTTTGAAATTTCAGTTTTTATTGCTGAACCAAAATTTGTTTTTTTCGAAAATTTATTTAGGCCATTCGAAAGATAATAAAAAAACAAACAATTTTTTCAAATACCATTTTAAATGCTATATGGGTTTTAAGGGAATTAGAGATCTTTGAAATTTCAGAATTTTTATTGCTAAACCAAAATGTATTATTTCGAAAATTAATTTAGGCCATTCGAAAGATAATAAAAAAACAAACAACTTTTTTAATTACCATTTTTAAAGCTTTATGGGTACTAAGGGATTTAGAGAGCTTTGAAATTTCACAGTTTTTATTGCTGAACCAAAATTTGTTGTTTTCGAAAATTTATTTAGCCTAAATGAATTTTCGAAAAAAATACATTTTGGTTCAGCAATAAAAACTCTGAAATTTCAAAGATCTCTAAATCCCTTATTATAACTTTAAGAAAAGGTAATAATAATTATATTGCAACAAATTATGATTTAATATATTCTTTATGTCGAAATTTAAAATAATTAGGTGTTAAAAATTTAGTAAGACCGCTGGCGCTTTGGCCTCCACCTGAATTTATTGCTGGCTGGCTACTTGTAAACATGACGCAGGTAGTTTTTTGAAATAGTAAGTGTTGCTTCATAAAAAGTGAATTTAAACAACTATTGTTATCTTAACCTTTAAATGATTGTCAGTTATCCGGAATTTCTAAATTCTTTATAAAAAACGGTAACAAGGTAAAAACATATCGACTACAGTCTGGAACCTTATAAATTAGCCAATAAGATTTTAGGCTTCATTATGGCGATGTTTAAAAAACACTGTGGCGCGCATTTCAAATTTGTTTGAATTTTTTTGGAATTATAGAGAAATTTCAAAAAATATTTTTAGATTAGATTTTGTGCTATCTTTTTGAACAAAATATTTTTGAATTTTACTAAACACGCCCATTGTTGTAAAGTTGAAATTTTAGGCCAAGCCTTAGCCGTTCTTTGTAGAATTAATATGCCTGCATTGTTTATTATTTTTATTTCCATTAATTTTTTATTCCTTCTGTGTAATTTAGTATATAATACATAAAAACTACTTCGATGATGATAACAATAATATAACGTTTTGAAGACATTAATAAAATTCTAGGTAATAGAAGGACCGATATAAAAGAACTTAGCATGTATGCCAATCAACCAACTGCCTAATTGTTATCTTGCAAACTTGAATAAGTGTCTCAACATTTAATAATACTAATGTTCAAAATGTTACATTATTAATTTTTATTTAAATTAACTTTACAGAAGATAACAAAATCATATTAAAATTAGAATACTTTCTTACCGTGGGTGATTTACTATTTCTTGAGGAGTAAAATGAATAACCACGCTAGCAATATCTTTTTCATATTCCGCAGTTTTTTGGTGTTTCTTAAACATCTCATTGGCATGTAAGGAATCCAAGTAGTCAACGGTTGGACAGTCAACAACTGCAAATAAAGAGAAAGTATTATAGATATCGATATACACTTAAGGCGGTGGATCTCTGCCCATGCATCATGTCTTTTAATCAATAAAGTACGTTGTGATCGTCGATTACACATTCAATACAATGAATAGAGAACAGGTGTTGATATTTTCGTAAATTCATAAAAATAGCTATTAGTATCTGTGGCGCCCGTCACAGAGATGTAGTTTCATGCCTGTGTCGTTGAGAATGTTCATACCAGAGTGCGCACAAGACCGAACCTCGAGTCGGCCATTGTTACTTAAAAAATACTGTGATGTACGCTTTACCCTTTTTCACGCTGCGTCGTGTAACGTATAATGTTAATTGAAAAGTTCTGTTTTGTTTTTATAACAGTTGTTAGGTAAGTTTTTTAATGTCAAAAAGTCATACAGTCCATTTGAAACCTAAATTTGTAAAAGACGAGTTTTCTTTACAACAGGCTTTGATCGAAACACACTTTCCATTTTAAATTTCTAATTTGATTAGTGCAATATCACCTGCCAAACTGTTATTCCTAGTTACCAGTTGGTTTGCTGTTCGGTTTCGTGTTTTGAGTTTTATTATTCCTTTTGTGTGTTGCATATTGTAGATACACCATTTTTTAAATCAATAGTTTAATCGTTTTTTTATTTCACAAATACATTTTATTTATATTAAAAATAGCTGAACTCACATCCGATATTTGAATATTGACGCCTATGACGAGCGTTCTTTGGTGTTATAGCCGGAATATTTGAATTTATCCGCAGTTAGAATTGGAATATTTTATGTGATAAGAGAATGTGAAAGAGATAGTTTTTTTTATCTCACCTAATAATTAAGGATATTATGTTTTTTGTTACAATTTTTGTTTTTGCTAGATTGTTCTAAATAACACCTCAGTCAAGGTTTTCTTACATACAGGCGAATAAAAAAAAACTGAATATTAAAATACAATAAAAAAATATTTACAATCAACGTAAGACAAAATCACATTGATTTCATGAATATATGAAAGTGCTAAAGAAATAAAAAAAAATCCTTCTTTTAATATGTTCCATTTAAATTGGTTTTAAAAACTCTAATATATGAACTAGATATAATTTTGTAGATAATTTATTATAATGGTTGAAGTCTTTAAAAATCATTGAATTCATACAATTCCGCTTATTTGTTTTGGCAATACACAGAGTCCTCAACAATACCCGTATTCCACGTGACTTGATGTCTCCAGTTGGTTAAATGTAACATTAGTAACGCCAGTAGTAACTAATACTTAAGATGTCATAAAAGTCACTGAGAACGGCTTTTTTATCACGTGGGATATGTAAGGGAGGACGGGAGGGTTAATTAAACTTACACACCTGTTTAATAGCTTATTCCAACAAAGGTATCTCCCTAGGTTGTGGAAAGTAGCTGAAGTCATTATGATCCCCAAACCAAGTTTAGTCATATAGGCGCCAATATCTCTATTATCTATAATATCGAAACTATTTGAAAAATTACTAATGAAAAGAAGAAAGGAAACTAATTCCAGATTATTAGTTCGGCTTTACAGAAAACCATTTAACTATAGATCAGGTTCATAGAATCTGAAATGCGATTGAAAATTATCATCCTAACATTTTTATCAAATTAAATAATTTCTTTAACATTTAACACCACGATCTTGTCCCCTGTTGCCTTTTACTCTCTCTAAAAAAATGAATTCATAGGATATATTTGTTCGTATGATGCACAGAACACTCACTTTCCGAAGCCACACCTTCTTCATGGTGGAGCATTGTCAAAAGTGAACCGTTTGGTACCTTAATCGATTAAAACGAGAGATAAAGATACCAGGCTCCTGTTTGCAACGACTTAGAGATCGTAGATTTGTTACTTGTTCGAAGTGCAAAAGTGTACACTTTTGTAGAAGAGTAACGAAGCTGTCACTACTGTCTCTGACTCGCTGGATGTACCTCAAGAACAGGTAGCAAAGAAGGATTGTTCACTTTTGTGAGGTATGTATGAAATATTGAGGGTGAAAAAAGGAATTAAACTTGCCATAACATTGTAGTACAATGATTGTATGTATTTTTCAGACTTGAATTGTGGCTTAAGGCAGCAAATAGAGAGGACTTATTGGGCAAGAGTGTTGAACACTTAAGTAAAAATTACCAAATTTGTGAATTGCACTTCCAGGATAAACTCGTTTATCAGTCAGGAACAAGAAAACGATTATTTGTTAATGCATTCCCAACAATATTTCCCCATTAAGAACCTACGAAAAGAGTCAGAGTTTTGCAAGTTAAATAAATAAAATTTATTGTTAAATGTTACAAAAAGTTTGCTATATTACATTTAGTAGTTTAAAAAATAAAATGATAAGTATTAATAATCTTAGAATATCAACCCATACATTCCATTTTATAGAACTACCTTGGAGGTAAACTGCACTATGTCGACATACAATAATAATACTCTCTCTAATTCACCCCCTTACGAGTGAATTTCAACCCCTGAAGTCGACTGAACGACTTGTGTAGGGGAAGGGACGGCTATTATTATTATTTGCCGTGGCGCTCCGGGGCGACTTAAAGATGATTGATGGTGCCATTTGACTTACAGGTGAGGAAAACCCGGAAAACCTCACCCACCATCATCGAGACGGTAATGTATGGCGAATTTTTTTAATCTGCATGTCATATCAACAGAAATTGAATTTCTATTAATACGCCACACATCAAATCCTAAACCGAACCATGCAATTTAATTAAAAATCCACATGGTCTGGTCTGGGATTCGAAACCCAGCAGTCTCAGACTCATAAACTTGCCTATAAATGAATATAAGCGCGATAGACCGCTACACCACCGTCCCTACTTGTGGCAAATTAAAATAAAGTAGTTCTATTAGTAAAAAATACAAATATTTTTGCATATCTAGTTGAAATTTAATAATTTAACATTCAATCTGCTGTACTAAAAAGTTGAATAGAATGACATAGTGCAGTTTACCTCCTAGGCGCAGAAATATATTCATATATTATGAAATAATTTTAAATTTCATTTGGCTAAAAAGTATGACAAACATTTAATTCTGACAAATGATTCTTGACACTAGTTGATCTAATAAAAATTTGGTTTCTCTATCTTTTTTTAGAGGATCTTGTTGTTCATTGCGAACAACTTGTGTCTACCGGAAACTTCAGCAGAAGTAGAATCTATTGAACAAGTGCGTAGTCAACCATCTGTTCATCTACCTTGTGTAACAGCACAAATTCAAACGAGTAGTGTGTTATCATCAAACACTCCAAGAAAGCAGAGACTGTGACTGAAGATTTCAACATTAAGCAAACGTTTGTTTGGTGCAAAAAAGAAGAAAAATAATTACTCATTTATTATTTTTTATAAGTACCGTTTATATAATTATTCTATATTTTTGTTGTATTATATTATATTTTAATAAAGATCTATGTATTATAAATTAGGCTTGCTCTATAAATCTGTGTAAACAATTTTAATTTTCAAACACTTAAAACGATTTTGTTATGTTATGAATACTATGTAATAGTTTTAACAAAATATGTCATAGGTGTGTGATCCTTTTTTTAGACAATATAAGTCTAATTAAACATGTACGTAATTTGAGTACATAGTTTCTCAACTGTTTTTTTACCGTTTTTATAATTTAAATAAACTATTATTTAAAACTTTATAATTTTTATTTTTGAAACCTCTTCCGACAGAAAAATAAATTACCTATAAAAATGAGTCCTGGATCATCAGGTTCACAAACATCTTTCGCCGTGACAATTTTACCATTAACTAATTTCACATCCTCTCCAGCTTTTAATCTACCTAAAAGAGGGCCTGGTCTGACGCCCATTCTTAGACATTTATCTAAATTTAAGGCTCCAGGTCTGGGTTTAAGGATACAAATGTAAGCCATTGAAATTCCCTTTACTTTTGTTTGCTCATAGATTAAAGAGGGAAGTAATTTTAGTTCGTCATCTTTGACAGCACTATCTGAAATAAATAATATAGCTTAGGTTCCACTTTAAACAAAGATTAGAATTTTATTATAATGTCTATGTTTTTAGCGATTTCACTTTAGTGGTAGCTTACATTAGCTTTGTATCATGAACATTAGCAATGAAAAACTTCTATTTTGTACAAAATTTATTTAAAAAGAGTGAATCACTTTTGACCTTAAAACCATAATCAGTGATTCATTTTGAATATACATGTAAAAATGTGTAAAAGTTACAAATTAAAAAACAAAAGATATGTGCTAACAAAATCGACAAGGTTAGCATCCTTAAAATTCAAAATGATGAATCCTTATAGCAAGGTTTGTGTAGAGGGAAGAAGGAAGGATTGCTAAGCATAATCAATTTCGTAAGGTCATCGCAGCTAAACTATTTGCGACATTACCAGCGTTATTGAAAGATCCTGGATCGTTTTTTAAGTTTTTCTCAAAAACTATTGAGATTAGGACCCATATCACTGGTATTTTTAATGTCAGCTATTATCCATTAAATTTTGTTTGAGGAATGTTTGACGTAAACTAAAAGTTTAAACAATGCAATTTATGGGAAATTTTAAGCTTTTTAAATTACAAAAATGGAATATTGGCCTAGGAAAAAGGGTTACCAACACTACGGGAACGAGGACGGGATCGATAACAATATCTGGAGGGTTTTTCTACTTTCTCTTTATCTTTTTTCTTACGTTCATATGCGTAATAATCAGTGTTATCATTAAATTCATCACCAGAATTTGCCTTGGAATCTGCAGATACTGAACTACGTTTTCTTTTTTTCTCCCTTCGAGTGGAAGTTGATGCATGGAACTAAAAAAGAATTTTTACATTAAATTCGTAATATAGTGTTAACAGAATTAGGATACACATTAAAATGATTTTAGATCTAAAAATGCCTATGATTTTCAATCCAAACAAAAAAAAAACATGAATTTCACTTCATTTAATAAGATGAAACTGATTTTTTTAATTTATGAAAAAAATGCGGATGTTTCGAGTCATCGTTAAAATGTATTTGTGTTACTCTGATTTACTTTAAACTACTGTTTGAAACAGGTACCTGAATGTATATTAGGAACAAAAATTAGAAGATAAAACTACTTCTGTAGTAGCAGAAGAACGAAACGCAAAGCGCCTAATAGAGTATATTTACAAAATTTAACAAAAATAATAGAGTAGAGACAAGAAAGGAGGATACCGCATAAACTTGATTAGACTTTAATACATTCAGCTCTCTAACAAGAATTGAGAAGGTTTATGGGTTTAGAAGAGGTTTTTACTCAAAATACGTTTCAAGTGCTCGTATTAGCATCTCGAGACCACAACACACATCACTTACGCTACCAGTGGCATAGTACTTTGTCTTTTATAACTACTACAGAATGCAAAAGTGCAAATTTATTAAACTTGGATATTCTGGGTACGCCTTTCAATACCTTTAGAAAAGCTGCAAGAAATATATTGTCTTGACATTTTGAATATTTTCATTAATTTCTGATTATTTTTATTATAATAACAAAAATTAAATTACTTAATACTTCCCATTCCACTTAAATTTTTGGTGTTTGTTTTTAAAATGAAAGTTGCAAATTAATGTATTATCTTTTAAATGATTTTTGTATATTTTTTATTGTAATGGACATTTCTCGTATGTTGTTCAATAAATAAATTAGTAATCAAAATACGTCAACAAGTTAAGTTTATTTCACTTTTTGGAGAGGAAACCAAACTGCTAATTTATGATGAAAGACTAAATATTTTTTTTACAGCCACATGGATATTAGCCCTTCTACGCCCAGACTACAAAATGAAAAAGTATGCATACAACCGAATGGATATGTTTCATATCCACTCTCCCTAAGGTAAGTTCGGACAGACAAGTTCCACTCACTCCTTTAACTTTAAACGACACTTTTAGCGTTAGGTTTATTCCAATTACTGACAGTTCAACACGCTTAAATGTCATTTAAAGGCACCCTAAAACTCCGATCTTGTCCCGCTCCAGCCCCTGACTATCCCGAACTCACCTCTAGTAAATCCACCAATCACAGTTCCTATTTTGTTCACCCGGCTACTATTACTTTTTCAAATTTAAAATAGGTGACAATTCTGCCAAACTAATTGTCACTATATTTTTTTATTTATTGAGATTAAATATACATTAAAATGAGTTTTTCTTGTGTAGAATTGATAAAACTATATGAAATCAATTTAATTATGAGTATTAAAACTAAAATGTTGTGTGGCGATGGATACTAGGGCACTTGCCTTTCATGCGAGGTCCTGTATTCAATTCTACAAGACTAAGGGTGAGATTACAGAAAGTCTGCAACTTTGCAGATCTGCAAATATGGCGGCAACTTTGAAAATCTGCAAGTATGACTGACTTACACATGCAAGTATCAAGTTTTCGTATTCCAAATTTGGGTTTAGTGTTGTTGGGGGTAATAAACCACAATAAATATTGCGAATTTGCAGATATTTTTTGGAATACTTACATTTGTTAAGTCCGCCATATTTGCAAAGTTGCAGACGTTCTGTAATCTCACCCTAATTAAATTAAATCTTTTTTTAAAAGTTTATTTTATTATATAAATTAGTTGGTTATAAATTATTTTTAAATTAGTTATTTTATCATAGTAACCTAAAATAATGTTTAAAATTTTCGTTAGTAGATCGTGACAGGTCTTCTATTCTCACTTGTGAGATTTGGAAGTCGTGGGTGGAGCCAGGCTGTTATTTCGAACAAGGATTGTCCGGGCGGCATTATTATAAGTAACCGACAATCCGTGCATTCGCAAATTTCCGAGGCGACCCGATTTATGTGATATTAAGTAACCGACGAGTCGAGCTTATTTGTCGGGTACATATAGGTATTTGGTGAACTATTAAAATGGTATTTAGTAACCGATGATTTAGCCTGACTCATCGGTCACATAAGGATGACCAGTCTTGCGTAATAACTTAATAAAAATACAATGATTAATACAAATGCCTATATTAGTAGTATATTACAGTCAAAGTAGAATTTTTCATTTGTTTCTTCTTGAGTTAGTTCTTCTGCTTTGTATCTTCTATTGACTGACCTTTTAAAACACAGGTATTCAAAGAATTGGTCAACTCATACTGGTAAACACTAACCTAATAAAAATGCTTGGGAAAACCGTCAAATTGTAAATAGTTCATAATATGGACTGTAATAAACCTGACCGAGGGTTGATCATAAGATCACACAGGTAAATTATCCACACAGGATTAATTAAATAAAATCAGGATTAACTTTTATTGTAATAGCAACAGTGGGCTTCACACACAGAATAACCAATAAACATAATGTCAAGAATGTCATCTGTCATTGTACAGTACCAACTTAAAAATAATAACATTAGGCATTTTATAGAGGTTCTAACATTCGTCCATCCTGACAAAAATGCGACCTCGCATTTAAAGTAATAATCCTAAAAAAAGTTTTTTTTTTTTTTTTTTTTTTTTTTTTTTTTTTTTTTTTTTTTTTTATATATAAAGAACAAAAAAAAATTTAAATTTTAGCATGAACACAAAAATAGCTGAAGGCTTAATAGCAAATATAGTCTTTAAATTTATTAGGTCTTCGTTTTTCTCTCTTCTTTTCTACAATTTCCGTCTCGCTTGCTTGATCATCATCCATATCTTCTAATTTCGCTTTCTTTTTAGCGCTGTTCTTCTCATTGGGTTTTTCGTCTAGTTTAGGTTGTATTGACATGGATTCGGATTCATTTTCTTCATCTGTAGTTATGTCTTCGTCACTTTCATATGAGTTGTAATAGCCTTTTATTTGGGAAACATGGGCTGTTGTAATCTGCTGTCGTTCTCCATCTTCACTACATAGTTTTTCTATCTGATATGTATTTCCTGGCATTTTTTTCAGTACTACATATGGACCTTTATATTTCTTTTGTAATTTTGTACTTTCTCCAGTAGCTGTAGGTGAGGCTTTGACTACAATAATTTCTCCTATATCATATTCATGTCCAATATATCTTTTCTTATCAAATTGTTCTTTCATTTTCTGCTGTCCTTTAATCATATTTTCTTTGGCAATTTCTCTCAAATTAACTAGAGATGTTGTGGGATTAACTTCAGTTAGAGCATCTAATCTGGGGTCGTCTAAACTAGGTATGTAACCAAATAGTAATTTATACGGAACTTGTCTAGTCGTCTTGTTTATAGAGGTGTTCAGATTCCATTGAACTTTTCCTAAACATTGGTCCCAACTTTTCTCTGTTTTCATCTCTGCTTGTATGACTGGTATAAGAGTTCTGTTTACTCTCTCAACCATTCCATTTCCTTGTGGGTGTCGAGGGGAATTAAATACTAACTTGATGCCCTTGGAGATGCAAAAATCTTTAAAACTGGTGGCTGTGAAACAGGTTCCACGGTCACATACTATAGTGTTTGGAATGCCAAACTTAAAAATAAGGTCTTCCATTGCTCTTATTACACAAGTACTTTTGGTACTTCGAATAGGATATAAATTGACAAATCGTGTAAAGGAGTCTATTACTACAAAAAGGTGCTGGTTTCCTCTGGATGATTTAATAAATGGACCAAGATTATCGATATGAATTCTGCTAAATGGTCTATTAGTTGGTGGAATTGGATTTAGCAACCCTGGTTGTTTACCTGAAGGTACTTTGTTAATTATACATTCCATACAACTTGAAATATGTCTTCTTGTATAACTCTTTAATTTAGGAAACCAAAATTTCTCTAGAATTCTTGAAACAGTTCTGTCAACTCCAAAATGTCCGGTTAAATCGTGATTCTTTACAAGAATACTTTTTCTCATTGTACTGGGTACTACAAATAGTTTTCTTTCTTCTCCGTTTATTATTTTAGTTACCATCAATCTTCCTGAGATTAGCTTATATTCTTTTGTCATATTTATTTCTTCTTTACTTCTTTCTCTGGAAGTTTTTGTTAATATATCTATAATGGGTTTTAGTTTTTCATCACTTCTCTGGATCATAATAATTTGGGATTCTTCAGTTAGTGAAGTAAGAACTGTTAGTCTTTTATCTAGGAGTTGATCGTGTGTATCAGTTGATTCTTCTACAGGTGCTCTGCTTAAAGCATCTATATGGGCCATTCGATCTCCTTTCCTAAATTCAAATGCATAGTCATACTCTTGTAGTGTACTAAACCAACGTGCAGTCTGGGGGTTGGTACTTTTATTATTGTTTAAAAATACGATCGCCTGACAATCTGTAATGATCTTAAATTTTATTCCGATGAGTAGGTTTCTAAGACGTTCTACACTCCATATTACCGCTAATAATTCCAGTCTTGTAGAATGATATTTGCTTTCATGTTCGGTTAACTTTTTTGAAACACAATATACTAATCTATTTTTACCATTTTCGTCTTTTTGAAGGAGTATACCCGCTATTCCAATAGAACATGCGTCCGTGTGTAATTCGGTTTCGGCATTAAAATCATATAATTTTAGTACGGGAGCTTGAGTTAAAATGTTTTTGAGTTTTTCAAACGCGTCTCGACATTCGCGATTAAAATTAAAATCACAACCTTTTTTTGTTAAGTCCGTTAATGGTTTGGCAATTACTGCGTACTTTTCAATAAATCGGCGGAAAAACCCTGAAAGTCCTAAAAATCTGCGCACTTCATGTACGTTAGTAGGTTCTGGAAAATTTTGCAAAGCTAAAAGTTTATTTGAGCCCGGTTTTAGTCCTTGTTCACACACTGTGTATCCGAGATATTCAATTTCCGTTTTACCGAAAACGCACTTCGTTGGATTAAGTGTCAATTTGGCA